TTGACACACTACCAATTTCCAAGCCCTTCACGTAAGTAGCAGAAAATCAAAAAAATCTTTTAGCCTGCTGCTGTTTTTCTCCCCAGAGCAGGGAGTAATTGATACTACTGTATTCACGCACCAGTGGTGGAACTGGCAGATAATGAGAAACGATACCAGACGGAGCCACGTAACTGCAGCATGAACATGCAAGAAGTGTACAAAACCAACAACATTATTTTCATGGGTTTTGCAAATATTCTGAATCCCCAAGCAACCAGCTTCAATTGCTATTCTTTCCATCAGATAGATGGTTCAATAATTGCCATCTTGTAGTGGGTATTCTGTTGGAAATGAAATTACAAATTTTCCCTGATTTTTATCAGAAAACTTTGCAAGTTACGTAAGAAGTGGGAACTCCTTCCTGAAGCACTGAAGATCTTATTCACCCCTAACATACGAAGATATTATAGATAAATTAAGAAGAGCACTTGAGTTGGAATATCCTTGAAAGCCTTAAACTGGATTTAGAAACAAATTTCAGGAAAGGGTAAGTATCTTCTAGGCATAAGCATGAGGCATTACCAAGGTGCAGTACATTGTACTAAAATAGCCCATAAATGGGATGTTGCTGTATTAGGAAAGCATCTTCAAGAAATATAATGAACCGTTTCAAATGAGTCATTTCAACATGCTAGATGGGAACACTTTGCTGACAGAAAGGACATCTCCTTGTTTGTACATCAGAAAGAGCACTGTGCAGCAACTGACCCAACTAATGATGGAGAGACGGGTTTGTCAAAAAACTCACCAGTTTTGGACCTTTCAATCTTAATATGTCAGGTTACTATGAATTTGGATCTTTGCATGGCTTTTGTACTTTTCTACTTGTCGAATCGTCAAGGAAAAAAGCTTTCCACCAGAAAAACAAAGGAATAAACAAGCAAGGCCACTGGACCTAAGCAAGGCTGCCAAGAAGAACAAGAATTGGAGAGATGGCCGGAGGGACTCCATACCACTCTCCGGTGGGCTGAACTTTTCAGCTGAGCAGCCAGCAATAAGAAAAAAGAGCCAACTTGTGAAATAAGTAGAGATGTATCACTTGGACAGGCTCCTTCCTCTCCATAACTTACCTTTCTCTGCTATTTGTCACAGTTTTTCTGCATTCTTTTGAATATAAGGACAGAGGGTATGTCTTTCTAGGAATGTCTTTGTTTCCCAAAAGCAGCAATAGAGTACAAAACTGGAAGCGCTCATATAGATTGTAGTGGCACAGAACCCATACAATAATCAATTTTCCAGCTCCACAGAGGCAGAGTATATTCTCCTTCCTCCTTCCCTGACCTCTCCTCTGGATTTTTCATATGAAGACAATTCTTTGTTTCTGACATCCAAAGCAAGTAAACTCCTCAGTAAGTAATTTCTATCTCTGTATTTTACTCTCCTTGACACAAACAGAAGATGATTCACATTTTTAAAAAGAATTTGGGAAGTGTCTGTGAAAAACAAAGACGGACTCTCGCTGAAATGGTATGCTAACTTGGACAGACACTGCATGCAGTCCTGCCATGCAACCTGGCCCAAAACCAGCAATGCTCAAGCTTAAATTAATTCAGTCTACAGATCTGTTTATATGGGCATCAGTCAGAATAGGGCCAACCTCTAGTTTTACAGTCTGTGTTAAAACTGAAGAGATCGTAACTTCTGGAAACAAATGTTATCCATGCATCATCCTGTCCAGTCCCAACACAAAAAGGTGTGATGAATGAGCTGATAAAAATTCTATTACTATGACACACCAGTTTTAAGCACTAACGGTTAGCCTTTAATTAAAAATTCCTAATACTGATAGAGATCAGATAGACAGCCATCAGAAAATGGGAAAGAATATTTCCCATGGAAAATATGCCTGTGGAATTAAGGGTTGATATGTATCCAAAGTGCAGGACAGTCTCAAGAACACAAACAACATATTTGATGGAAGAGTTCAGTAATTTGGCAACTAAAATTGTTGCCAGCAAAGAAGTATTCATCTGCATAACTAATAAATGCAGGAATTGAACTTGACACTTCAGAAATAGACCAAGGCTGTGACATAGCCCTATTCTCTAACCGCTCTCTTTAGACAGGTAGTGATTTCTACTGACAGAAACTTAACGTCAGCTACTCCTTCACATAATAAACAGAGATGAAATTCTTGTCCTGCTGA